AGGAAACGCATGCAGGTCCCCGTGGCCATGATCTGAATAACATCAGCTGCAGGTAGCGCAACGAGCACAAAGCATGGACTCTGCGCCCGTTTGGACGAAGGAACCAGCGCTCCACAAACAGCGGTATCAGCAACTGGATCTCTGGCTGAGGATCAGGGGAAAGAGGATCCACTCTGAGCTCCACGGCTGATTTGGAAGAACAAGGACGACTCCAAGCTTTGCAGGGAGTCACCCTGATCCTGCACAACTTTTTTAAAAATAGAAACTTTTTAAATGTCAGGGTCTAATTTAACGTAAAAAAAATGATTTTATTCTGAAAGTTGGTGCTGTAATCAACTGTATGAGTATCAATCAACATTTGGGAAGGAATGAAAACATTAGTGACAACAAGACTTGCTTGGAAAAGAAGGGAACCCAAATATTCTTAAAAATGTTAGTTACTTCTCATTGTAAGAGATGCACAGAGCTATAAAGCAAAGGTCTTACATTGAACCCTGTGCAGGAGGAAAATACAAACCTCAAGTTGGCCAGACGAGAGAGAGAACCTGCAAAATGAAACAAAGAAGGTCTAACCCAAGCCTGGAAGAAAGTACATAAAAAGATAGAAAAAAAGAAAGCATTTTTGATATAACCTGTTACAATAGATTCAGTAAATTGATATATTTAGATATTAGATCTATGGTGACAGAGTTTATTGATTATAGATTATTGAGCAGAGTGAAAACTTAGGAAAGGGTTATTTGCTGATTTTCATCCAGATAACGTCATGATTAGTGGTGAAGGTGGTGAGGAAGACGCAGTGGACCCAGAAAATGGTGATTTAAGGAATAATCCAGGCAACACATATGAGCGGAAAGCTAATGGATCAATACTGGTAGCAACTGGTACAAACAACTGACGACTAGAGAAGACGAGGACTGGACAAAGAACAAGGGTGGGTTTAAATACACAAGGAGAAAATGAGGAAACAAGGAAGAAAAACAGAAAAAAAAGAAATCCTCACAGATTGTGGAAGTTTGTCTCGGCCATGCAGATCTTTCAATCTTAATGTCAGCCTGTAGACTTTGAGGAAGCCACTCAGGATTTCTTCAAGGGCTTCGTTAACATGATGGGACTTTTGTGAGAAGATGCCAGCCATCCTTTCTTGAGATTCGAGCGCTCCACCATTGACAACTCTACTCACTCTGATTTTGAAAGATTTCCTACTTCATGTCTGAGTGAACTTATTTTCAGAATTACAATGAATAAATGTTTAAAGAGTTATTCAACAAATGACTTTAAGTTGACCTGATTTATCTGACTTTAGAAGCGGCTCTTGCTAACGGTGACTAAACACTGTCTAACTCTAATTCTCGTCTAAATCTGAGGGGATTTTCTGTTTGGACATTAAAGCTACCTTGTTCAATAAATTCAATCCTCATTAACAATCTGTATGACTTCCACAGGTTGACGATGTTCTGTTATCTGTTATTTACACAGAACCAAAGTCCAGAGGACAGACTGATATGAAGGTTAAAGGCCACCGCAGAGGAAGAAGTGATTCTGCTGAGACGGCACCAAAACATGAGGAAGATCTCCGAGACAGGAAGGTAGCAGAGGACGAAGGATTTCACAAGAAGCTGTACGGACACGGAAAGTTGCGCAGAACGATTAACAATATCTGTTGTGCTAACGACTGCATGGCTGCTGTCAAACACTGAAGGTAAAACTTGAACCTGGTTTCTGTTCAATCATCTGATAGCTGCTAATCATGAGAGGAAAAATGCTCTAATGTGTTAGACTGTTTTAGATTTACATTTTCTGGGTGAAGAACTTTCTCTGTGAGGCGGGCCAAGAAACCTCTGACAGAATTTTCATTCCCAATATTTGTGACATCAGATGGTGCATTCAGGGACATGGGAAATTCAGATTGAAGGCTCTGCAGATTACATGAAACAATATGAGGCTTGAGATGGTTTTCTGTCTTTTCAAGTAATTTCACAAGACTGAATTTTCCTGATAAACACAGTGGAATGTGTGGAAATATACAACAGTCAAAATGTCTGACTGAAAGTAGGAAGTAGCCCTTTTGCTCCCCCAAATGCTCTTCTTCTCAGCCATCAATCTGTTCTCATAGCTGTGAAGCTGAGTGGATCAACACTGGATCAGAAGGATCATACTGCCTTCCCTGTTTGGTTCCAAATGTTTGCCTCCGACTCACCAACCGACTTTCACAGTGACTCAGCATCTCCCAAAAGAGGCTAGAAAAACAGGAAGTAGAATTACAGTTCTACTTCCTGTTGAGTCTAACTTTAACTTACATTTTCCTCGGCTCAGCAGGAATATGAGAATATGTGGAAAAAACAAGATCTAATCTGTAGTAACAGATCAGGCTTGAGACTCTGGCAAATGGCAAAGAGCAAAATCTTTATTTCAGTCGTTTGCAAACGGAGAACACAAAGTAACCTCAACACAACAGCTGTACCTGCAATGACTTCTGACTTGTAGCTGCAAGTCTCACAATATGTAGGACTCTCTATACAACATGGTCACTTCCTGACTCAGGTTTACTGCCCAGTCAGTAGCCACAGGGTGGACAGGATGCATCTCTTCTTACTGAAAGGTCAGTTCATTATTTAGATGACAAAACATCTTCTTGTTCAAAATATGGGAGTTTCCAAAAATTAGGATGCAAATGGAACGATTTTCCAAACCAAAACCATTGTAAGACCTTCTAGAACGTCCTCTGAGCTTCTGACATTCAATGGAGAAATTTGTTAGAGCTTATTATTCCAGCTTACTGTTTTTACCTAAAATATCTGTTATTATCTGTTAACAAACTTATTTTAGTCACTGACAGCCTGCTGGAACTTTTCCAAGGAGAGGTCAAAAGGAAACCTGATTCTTCAGAGACTCCTTGAAAATTAAGTTTTAAACAAAAAAAAATGGCCTAATGAAACAGCAGAAACCCAAACCCTACATGACCCCACTGGCAGGATGCTGAATAACCTTGGATCGAAAAACTATTATTTAGCTAACTTAAATAAAGTGAATTTGCATTTTCTGATAACAAATCAATTGGAATGGATCAAAGTGGCTTGGAATCTCCTTCTTGGATTGAATTTACGTTTTTTTAAATGGCTTTAAATTACATGTTATGAATTGGTGCTACAAAATAAATTGAATTGAAACTATGATCAAATTAAAGGCTGCATTTAGGTTGTCACGTTCAATGCCAAAATGAATGTTATGGGTTAGGGTCATTTACCTTTGCCCAAAATTGGACGTCCTGCTTCATCACTTTTGTCGACTAAATATCTGGGTCAGATTTATTGAAACTTGACCAGGACTTACTTTTTCAAATCTTTTTACCCTTTTGATTGTATGGTATGTAGAACAAAAGTAGCACTTTGTGTACTTTTAAGGCCTTCTATCCTATTATGTGTCATGAAATGAGTTGATTGTGGTGAGGATGGACTACCTACTAGCCAAGGTATTAGTGCAAAAATGCTGGATTTCAATGGCAATCTCAAAAGGGTGAGCAACGAGACAAGGGACTCAGACGCTGGTAGCACCAGCAAACGCCACAAAAGACAAGGTCAAAAACCCGGAGGGTAATCAGGAGGGACAGCTGGACACAATCAAGGGGTAGATGTGACAACACAGGGACCAGTGAACACACAGAAAAGGGGGCACAGGTGTGTTCATGGGTCCAATACGGGTGGGAATTTACAGCCACTTCTCCATAAACACCATTTGAAAACTGATAAACCCGGTTACATTACAATTAAGAGTCAGTCTGGAAATGTTCTTCAGCTGATAGAAGGCCGACTTTGTAACTGTCTTTATATGTGTCTGAATGTTCAGGTCAGAGGTCATCCTGATGTCTTGTTTCCAGCTGGAATGACAAAGTGGAGACACAAGCAGCCCCTCCCAACTGGAAAATGAAAAGATAGGAAGAAAGAGGAGTGGGTTGAATTCCTCAAAATGCCGGGAAAGGAAATGAAAGAAAGGAGAGAAAAAATAGGATTTATTGCAGGATAAAGAACCAAATGAAGAGTTTCTGTAATGAGGGGTTGAAGGTCAGAGAAAGTATGACACCAAGCAGCAGGACACAGCAGGTTAGCAGCTGTGCTACATGGCTCTATCATCCTGACCCCCACTGGGAATTTGGATGCATTCAGGGCCCACAGAGCTTTTCAAGGTAACCTGAATGAATCAGCAAACAATTAACCTGCTTGGTCGATTAAAATCAACCCATACTCAGCAGGAAAAGGGGAACGTCTTTGTTCCAAAATAAAACTTTTTAGGAGAAAGTCTGAGTTAAAAATAGAAAAGATGAGTGAATATACAGACTAAACATGGAGTTATCCTCTTCTGGTTGATCATTATTTTCTATTTTATTCCAGCTCCAGAAACAAACGGCGGTTATTCTGATCCTCCTCATTTTGCTCAAGGCCAATCCTTCAGCTTCCCTCTGGACCTCAGTGCAGCCGCTCCGTTCTTCAGGTTTCTCTGTGACCATGGGGAACACCTCACCCAAAGACAAGTAACCCAGAGAATGACTTTATTTAGACTTCTTTAAGTAAGATGCTGTAACATCATTACTTTGCAAAGATTTGTAAAAAATGTGAATGTTTCTATAATTAAGAGAAAAACTATTGCCAAAATGTTACATGACCTGACTTGATCAACTAGAGAAACTCAGGATGAATCCAGTTGAACTTTCAATGATGTAGCAGACATTGTTGAGCTCTAACTGACGGCCGTTGATTAAATCATCCCATTTTATTTCTTGCAGATATTTGGCCGTGTGGGTGATTTTCTTCATGCTTGGTCTGGGAACCCTGCTGCCCTGGAACTTCTTCATGACTGCTACCACGGTGACACATCATCTGCTTTTTCTCCACACCTCCTGTTTCTCTGAACAAACTTGTTCTGACATTAGCCAAAGCAGAAACGTTGTTACGAATCTGAGAAATTGTGCCTGGGTTCTGATTAAATGTCGACGGATGTGAGAGAATATAACTGTAATGAGTCACTGGGACCCGGAAAATCAGCCATGACACAGGAGTGAGCGGAAAACTCAGATATTTATTAAAAGACGGCTCAGCTCACGGATGGCCAGCTGCAGCACTGGCTTGGCGATCAGACACTGGAGTGATCAGCTGAGGAGCGAGCTGGAGAGCAGATGCTGCACTGATGCTGCATGCTGCATCAGTGCAGCATTCAGACTCAGGACAGACTGGCTGAGTAGAAAGGATGTTGGCATCAAGCTGAGAGCCTGATGCCAACATCTTCCTGCCACATGTCGATGTGCCCTTTAGCAAGACACTTAACCCCAAGTCACCTTTCAATTTGCCCATCGATACTTGTGTGTGTGTGGGATTGGGCAAATGTGGTTTGAGAGTAAAGCTTCAGGTGGTTTGTATGCTGAGTGTATTTAGCTTTCCATTTAAAGTGGAAAGGGTTGGGGTTGGGTGAGTGCTACCAAATGAGCTGTTGTGTGAGCAGTTTTGTCATCCCTAAAAGGTCAGGCTGGGAAAGATGCAGAGGGTTAAGACTTCCTGTTGCTTTACCCCAAGTTGCCTGCTGATGTGTGTGAATGCCTGAATGTGGCTCTGGGGTAAAGTGCTCTGAGAAGTCAGTATGGCTGGAAAATACGAATTTAAGTTCAGACCATTTATTATCTGGGTTCACAAGCCCAAGAAACATTCTGTCACTAAATCCAAATTCACTTATTTTCCTACTGACCGTCTTTTGATCAAAACTCTTTGTACGTGAACAGAGGTTTTATTGTCCTTGCAGTACTTCAGGAATCGTCTGAAGGACCCTTTGCCCACTGAGGTTTCAGCCAATCAGAGTGAAGCAACAGGTGAACGTCGAAGTGTTCTAGAGTCCAAATTCAACAATGTGATGACGCTCTGCGCTATGTTGCCTCTGCTGCTGTGCACCTGCCTCACCTCCTTCCTGCATGCCCTGTGAGTACTACACAGGTACTACCCAGTAATACACAGGTACTAAACAGGTACTACCCAGTACTACACAGGTACTACCCAGTAATACACAGGTACTAAACAGGTACTACACAGGTACTACCCATTAATACACAGATACTACACAGTAATACACAGTAATACACAGGTACTACACAGTAATACACAGGTACTACACAGTAATACACAGGTACTAAACAGGTACTACCCAGTACTACACAGGTACTACCCAGTAATACACAGGTACTAAACAGGTACTACACAGGTACTACCCAGTAATACACAGGTACTACACAGTAATACACAGGTACTACACAGGTACTACCCAGGTACTACCCAGTACTACACAGGTACTACCCAGTAATACACAGATACTACACAGTAATACACAGTACTACACAGGTACTACCCAGTAATACACAGATACTACACAGTAATACACAGTAATACACAGGTACTACCCAGTAATACACAGTAATACACAGGTACTACACAGTAATACACAGGTACTACACAGTAATACACAGGTACTACACAGTAATACACAGATACTACACAGTAATACACAGGTACTACACAGTAACACATTTGTACTACACAGTAACACACTTGTACTACACAGTAATACACAGGTACTACACAGTAATACACAGGTACTACACAGTAATACACAGTACTACACAGTAATACACAGGTACTACACAGTAATACACAGGTACTACACAGTAATACACAGATACTACACAGTAATACACAGGTACTACACAGTAATACACAGTAATACACAGGTACTACACAGTAATACACAGGTACTACACAGTAATACACAGTAATACACAGGTAATACCCAGTAATACACAGTAATACACAGGTACTACACAGTAATACACAGGTACTACACAGTAATACACAGGTACTACAGAGTAATACACAGTAATACACAGGTACAACACAGTAATACACAGGTACTACACAGTAATACACAGATACTACCCAGTAATACACAGATACTACCCAGTAATACACAGTAATACACAGGTACTACCCAGTAATACACAGTAATACACAGGTACTACACAGTAATACACAGGTACTACACAGTAATACACATGTACTACACAGTAATACACAGGTACTACACAGTAATACACAGGTACTACACAGTAATACACAGGTACTACCCAGTAATACACATGTACTACACAGTAATACACAGGTACTACACAGTAATACACAGGTACTACACAGTAATACACAGGTACTACACAGGTACTACACAGTAATACACAGGTACTACACAGTAATACACAGGTACTACCCAGTAATACACAGTAATACACAGGTACTACCCAGTAATACACAGTAATACACAGGTAGTACCCAGTAATACACAGTAATACACAGGTACTACACAGTAATACACAGGTACTACACAGTAATACACAGGTAATACCCAGTAATACACAGTAATACACAGGTAATACACAGTAATACACAGGTACTACACAGGTACTACACAGGTACTACACAGTAATACACAGGTACTACACAGGTACTACACAGTAATACACAGGTACTACACAGTAATACACAGGTACTACACAGGTACTACACAGTAATACACAGGTACTACACAGGTACTACACAGTAATACCCAGGTACTACACAGTAATACCCAGGTACTACACAGGTACTACACAGTAATACACAGGTACTACACAGTAATACACAGGTACTACACAGGTACTACACAGTAATACACAGGTACTACACAGTAATACACAGGTACTACCCAGTAATACACAGTAATACACAGGTACTACCCAGTAATACACAGTAATACACAGGTAGTACCCAGTACACAGTAATACACAGGTACTACACAGTAATACACAGGTACTACACAGTAATACACAGGTAATACCCAGTAATACACAGTAATACACAGGTAATACACAGTAATACACAGGTACTACACAGGTACTACACAGTAATACACAGGTACTACACAGGTACTACACAGTAATATACAGGTACTACACAGTAATACACAGGTACTACACAGGTACTACACAGTAATACACAGGTACTACACAGGTACTACACAGTAATACCCAGGTACTACACAGTAATACCCAGGTACTACACAGGTACTACACAGTAATACACAGGTACTACACAGTAATACACAGGTACTACACAGTAATACACAGGTACTACACAGTAATACACAGGTACTACACAGGTACTACACAGTAATACACAGGTACTACACAGTAATACACAGGTACTACCCAGTAATACACAGTAATACACAGGTACTACCCAGTAATACACAGTAATACACAGGTAGTACCCAGTAATACACAGTAATACACAGGTACTACACAGTAATACACAGGTACTACACAGTAATACACAGGTACTACACAGTAATACACAGTAATACACAGGTAATACACAGTAATACACAGGTACTACACAGGTACTACACAGGTACTACACAGTAATACACAGGTACTACACAGGTACTACACAGGTACTACACAGTAATATACAGGTACTACACAGTAATACACAGGTACTACACAGGTACTACACAGTAATACACAGGTACTACACAGTAATACACAGGTACTACACAGGTACTACACAGTAATACCCAGGTACTACACAGTAATACCCAGGTACTACACAGGTACTACACAGTAATACACAGGTACTACACAGTAATACACAGGTACTACACAGTAATACACAGGTACTACACAGGTACTACACAGTAATACACAGTAATACACAGGTAATACACAGTAATACACAGGTACTACACAGGTACTACACAGGTACTACACAGTAATACACAGGTACTACACAGGTACTACACAGTAATACACAGGTACTACACAGTAATACACAGGTACTACACAGGTACTACACAGTAATACACAGGTACTACACAGTAATACCCAGGTACTACACAGTAATACCCAGGTACTACACAGGTACTACACAGTAATACACAGGTACTACACAGTAATACACAGGTACTACACAGTAATACACAGGTACTACACAGGTACTACACAGTAATACACAGGTACTACAGTAGTTCACCAGTTTCTAGGTCAGAGATGTGTGGTAGCTTGATTCAGTCATGTGGGCAGATTCATGTTCAGTTGGACGTTAAAGTTGCTCCATTTGCAGAAACAAACGAAACTCACCATCAGTCACCAACGACTACGGACTTGTTGCTATGACAACTCCCATCATGGAGGTCCTGGAGAGACTCCTGCTGGCACACCTGAGGAAGCAGGACCTCCTGCGGTCTGCTTATTGCCATGGAAACACCATCATCCAGCCTCACCTGACTGTATAAATGAATGGAATAAATGTGATCTGGATCAATGGGTTAGGGTTAGAGAACCTGCTGTCAGCTACAGATACTCAGATTACTCTGTAGCTGCTGGTGGATCAGAGATGGACCCGAGGACAGAGAGCTGCTGAGGGAACAATCAAATCATCTGGAATCAAAACAAAGGAGATTATTGCAATAATAAAGCACTTTGAATAAGGTTCAAAGGTCAAACAGCATTTCCATCATCTGTTCTGGTTCTGACTGGAAAATCTGGAGATGTCAATTACAAACAAGGATTTTTCATATAATCAAGAAAGTTCTGTTCAACTGACCGTCCTATTCAAAAACAGACCATCTTCAGTCAGAGGCTTCTTCACTCGCTGTAACACAGACCGCTACAGGAAATGTATCCTGCTAACACCCACCAGCATCTATTTCAAGTCTTTAAAGAACCGTGGAAAGTATGAGTTACAACAATATTTCATTTCTATTTGGATTGAATAGAATCTGCTGCCAGAGCTTCTCGAATCAAAAACAAGCTGTTCGACATGAAAACATCAAATGAAGCCAGATATGTTGTAGAAACCAAGCAAACACCATGACAACATGTATAAATCAAAAGAAGGTTTTTTATACAACAGGACAAAGGAAGGAATCCTTCGTTCCTTCCTTTGTCATAAAAATGTGAAGCTAAACATTAATTAGTGATGAGTGACAGGAAATGTGATGAAAAATCTGGTCCAAAACAAGTGAAGGAACCAAACAGGAACCCGAAAGCATCTTTTTGATTCCAGAATATTTCACATCTAAGCAGTTTAGTGTCAGAGTTTCATCTGGTTTCATATGCAGAACATGAGTCCTGCTTCATGAACAAAGCTGGATTCATTTGTCCTTGTTCTGTCAGCGTTCCTCAGCGCCTGCGTGTGATGGGAAGCCTCTTCATCATCATGTTTGTCTTCATCATCACTGCTGTCCTGGTCAAAGTTCCTCTGGAGCCGCTGCCTTTCTTCTCCATAACCATGGTGAAGATAATCATCATCAACTGTGAGATATTTATTTCATAATCATTTGATGTCTTGTAGTCAAAATCTAAATGTTCAGGATCTTAAAGCCTCAGATTGTTTCTCTTTTAACAGCCTGATGTTAAAGAGAAATTTTAACTTCAGGTTCAGAACCTGAATATTAAAGTTCAGGTACTGCACCTGAACTACAGCGTGAGGTCATCTCTCTGTTCAGGGTACAATATAAGAGTCTTGCAATAAACCCAAGGAAGTCAGTGAAGTGAGCTCATGATAGAAGTTATAATGTCGTTCTCAAAGTTCAGTGACATTATTGGTTCAAACCGCAAGAAAAAATATAATTTATACATTTTTTCAATCAGATTATGTTTCTACAGGGGAGATAATCTGCTTGTAACCAAACAGCAGAATGAATCTGAGCTGATAGTGATTAGATGCAACAAGTGGTGTTGGGGAACACCAAGTGACCAACACCAAGCCCAGCAAGTGCAGGTTTGCACCAGGTGGTGGCGTTCTGTGGCCCCTGGTTTGGGGTGCATCTGGTTCTACCTCTGCAGGGGCCCAATAGTTCCTAGTTAGGTGAAAGGAGCATCACCACATAGTAGTAGAGTCTTGGGGTTGGATGATGGTGGTCCAGCAGTCTTTCCACCTGGATTTGTTTGCTCCAGCGCTGCACCATCATTTTAAGGCATAAAGGGTCACAGTGGGTAAGACGAAGGTTATGTTCACTCTGCAGCCTGAAGTGACCCAAATCTGACTTCTGTGATCTGTATCTGATATTTTCATGACAGAATGATGATGGAAAGCAAATCACAGCTAGGTGAGCACCTGGTTCTGGTTCTAGAGATGTGTTGGATCTGCTGTGGGGATTGGTCCGGAGCCCACTGTCCTCAATTTGGCCTGGAGGGTCTGAACCTCCTGGAACGATTGGCTCCCATCTCCTTCCACTGTCCCTCTCTCCTGTGGAGTCCCACAGGGCTCCATCCCCGGCTCCTTACTTTTCACCTTTAGTTTAGTCATTCTTCATTAAACACTATTTTTTATGGCTTTATTTGTTTTTGCTATTTTTCTTCCTTTATGATTCATATTGTATTTTAACTTGGTTTTGATATCTTTACTTTTCATTTGTAGTCGTGTGTCCTGCCAGTGTTGGTTAGATTTCTCTTGAAAAATCCATTTATATCTATAAAGCTCACACAAATACACAGATTTCCTTTTACTGCCATTCGGAGGACACACAAATTTATCTGC